TGATATTGATATTGTATATTTATTTGTGCTCTACATTTTTTATATATGTCACTACCATATCTGCCAAAATTAGTGATTTAAACACACACACACACAAAAAAAACAAAACACTTTTGTTATATTAAACTGCCAGAGCTAATCTGGCCAATCACAGGATTTATTCAAGGTAGGTAAAGGTCTCATGGAAACCTTTCCAGCCGGAGCAGATGTGTGATGAATGCGGAGTGCCAGATGCCCTTTTGTTCCAGGCAGAACATTTGATTACCCCTCAGGTTCTGACAGGACAAGGTATGATTAGAGCACACAAAGAAAACTAAGAACCGCTGTAGTAAACTAAATCGTGTGCTTAAGTGGTATTCTCACATAGACGTTTCATGTTGTTTCTGAATAGAAGAATGAGGACTGTTAACTGATGGTGGTTGTTGTCATAAAAAGACTCTTCAAGGCTTGCTCAAGTCTTGACATGCTCTGATTACACATTCAAAGACGAGTAAGCAAAACAAAACAAGAAACTCAAAATACACAAAGCACATGTGTTGAACAGAAAGTTATAGTAGTGTTATATTTAACAGACTTGTTTGCATGCTTGCTCGTAAAATGTTTTATTTAAAATAACAGTATATTAAGGTCTGAGGAGCAAACCACCTCAGCGAGACTTTGTTTTGTGCCTTGTCGAAGTCATATTTGAGCGTTTTTACAGACAATAACCGTAGCATCCGCTGCATCAGCACGATCCGCCGACAAGCTCAATCATTATTGGCAAGCAGCAGTGCCAAACAACAAACCCACATGCGACAGCAGCTTCACTGCCTTCCTATTTTGATCTACAAGCATTGTGCTCAAATTAGTCTTTGTACAAATGTGCCACTAAAAATGATGCACAGCAGCTAATTCAGTGATGTGGTAAAGACGTGCTTGTGATAGCAAGCAAGCTTGTGCAATGCATCTGCACAGCTGTAAGAGAAAAGGTTGCAAAACTCTAAAATTACTCGTGTGCAAGATGTTCCCCTTAAAACACATCATGTGGTCCATCAGAGCAGAGCCTATGGTGCTTATGCTGGTTTAACAAAGGCAAAATACTGTTATTGGACACATTTAGTTTAGAGGGGTTTTCTCCTTCAAAATAACTTTGTTTTGACTCGTCCTAGAGCTTTTAATCCATCGCATTGTATCGTATTGTACTGTATCGTATCAACTGTATTTATTGTCCAGTATTGTATTCATTGTACAGTATCATATCTAGTGTGGTGTATTGTATTGTATTGTATCATATCTATCATACCGTATCATAACTATTGTACTCTATCCATCCATCCATCCATCCATAGTATCTATGTATCTATCTATAAACATTACATTATATAGCACAGGACAGTAAAGCCCTGCATTGTCATAGCTGAGATTCACTGATCCACCAGCATGCAGAACACAAATGAACTCCAGACCACAGCTCAGACTGCAATTCAATCAATACACAGCAGGAAAAAACCTTGGCATCTTTACCCTTAAGTGCTAACAGGGAACTATTTGAACCATTTTTACAAGTCAGGCATATTTCAGCTGACTTTATGTATATATCAGTTGTTTTTTATCATTACGAAGAGCAAGGTTCAAACCAGAAGTGGTTGAGCACTATTGTAAGCTTTCTTTCATTGCATCATTTCACAGAAACACATAGTTCTTATTATACAGAGAACAGTGGGATATCAAATGTAATGTCTTTGTTTATGTGTGGCAGAAAGTGAAAAGGTCTGTGTTTAGTAGTCTTGGCATGCAGGAAATGATTGATAGACTAATACCAACAGTGAAACAAGAGGTAAAAAATTTCCCATGGTGTCAAACCGAGAACAGTACAGTAATATTACAGAAGTTAATATGATACACACTGAATATCTGATGAAGATGAAATATAGCTGGCAGTAAACGACCAACCTGAATGTCAGTACTTTAGGTGCCAGTAAAAATCCTTTAGATTTCCTCAGATTGGCCACTATAGCACCACAAAGGTTGATGGATTTACCCACAATGCAAAGTGAAGAGTCTGGAAGTAGATTTATGAAGTGTAGCGATGGAGGGTAATCTAGCACATCAGACAACACTACAGCACACAAGGGAAAATACGTGAGCCAAGAATCACACCTGCTGAGGAGGGAACCTATCAATCGATCCATTTCAGACATGCTGCAGCAACGACTGAACGCTGCTCATTTACAATATTCAAAGAAACCTATATTTAACTTGAAAGGAGTGTTCGTAGACATCAAGCCCACAAACCGCCCACAGTCACAGATGATTCTGTCCTGAGGGGGGCGCTGAGTTTGAAAATGCAATAGTGGTAAAATCCAAAGATAAACATGGACGGTGTTTCCCTGTTTATAGACGGCCTCTCTCTCTCTGCCAGTCATTATGGATACTTTTAACACAGATATTTTTGGTGGAAGTCAAGGAGATGATATACGATTTCAACCCCTTGTGGTGCTGTTCCTCGCCACAGGTATGGATGTGCGATCATGGTGCTTTCAATGCAGCCCTTTTACCCCATTTATAAACAGAGGTGTATAAACTAACTTAGTATAAACACTTTGTTACTGTACTTAAATACAGTAGCCTACATTTATACTTTATACTCAAGAATAAATATTTTGTTGACTTCTACGTTCATATATTTTAAAAAGAAAATTGAAACTTTTAGTCCAATACTTTTCTCCAAAATAGGAAAAATGAACTGACAAAACTTACTTAACATTAATTTATCATAGTAAATATCCCTATTTCAACACCACTGCTGTGCATCTGCTGCCACTTTGCATTACCACAAAAATATTGCTAAAAAAAAAAGTATAAAGCATACCGATTACTCGTTTTTTCATTTCTGTTGAAATAAGACACATTTTTCAGAACAGTGTGGCCTGCTCTGAAGAGCAGAACCACTAAATAACCTCTCCTTGTCATAGATGTCATCCTCAGCAAAGCATGACTAAGAGCCATTTTGTAATCAAATTCATGAGGCCATTTGCAAGAAGACAGACCTCACTACTGAATGACAAAGAGTGGGGAGAGGCGCGTGAATCTGGAAAGCACAGCAGGAGAGTGGCTGTTCCCCATGCACAGCCCGTCTCCCCGACATTAATCAGAGAGATTAATTCCCCACCGCTCTCAGATGAACCGTTCCTCTACAACAGCCATAACTGCACTCTGAGAAGCCAAACTCATTAAAGAAAGTGCAGGTGTATCCATGCCAAAATCACCTGAGAAATAATAAATGACATTGCAGTGAAGTTTTATTTTTTATTTTTTATTTTTTTTAGAATAAAGCTTTGCACTTTCTTTAATAAAGCTTATTATTCCATCTTTTTATTTTGCTTCCTATAAGTTAAAATACTTTTTGTACTGTATTTATATGTATTTAATTTTGTATTTATTATATATGATGCATCTAAATACATTAAAATCTAAATATATATCAAATAAATGGGTGGTGCATAAAATATTACATACAGTGTATTTAAATAATTAGTTTAAATATTATATATGTATTTAAATACATTATATTTTATTTACAATATATTATTTATATGTTATGTACAATTTATTATTTATATATAACATCATTATAATTATTTATAACTATATATAATATAATGCAAGTAATATAGTTATTAAATAATTCATTATAAATAAAAACTATAATATTAAATTTAATTGTAATTTTCATTTTTTTCAATATTGTATTTATTAAATATGATATCTAAATGCATTATATAAGCTAAACAGGTGGGGTATATAATATTACATAAAATGTATTTAAATAATGTATTTAAATATTATAAATGTATACTATTTAAATACATTATTATACACTATTTACAATATGTTATTTATGTATGACATTATATTATATATAATTCATTATTTAATTAATGATTTGTTATTACATATAATTTTACATAGATAAATTACATATAATGTTTAATTGTATTTTTTCCACGTTTGTAACTGTGGTCTCTGAGACACCAAGTATAAATAATGTTCTGTACAAAATTTAATTTAAAATCAGTTTGCATCAGTTTTGGGATATTTTATAAAACATCAATCTTTACCCTTCAATGTTAAGTGTCCTTTATGAGCAAGAAAGACCCTCAGGGTCTTTCACACCCGTTAAAGAACATGAGGCTTAACAAAAAGTACAGCTTTCTAAAATGTTTTCTGTTCTCTTCATTTTCTAACACATGAAATCAGTACAGAAACAGGTGACCTTTCTATAGCACAAACCCAGTGGTACATCACAGATATAGTGGGAAGAGTTCCAATTTCTTCTAAAAGAAACACCAATGACTCAGAGATACAGCAAAATATCTGCATGCACTCAGTCCTTCATCCTGACTTGTTATATCACAGGGATGAAAAGGGTTGCATATAAAGTTTGGTCATTTTTGACAGAAATATTCACTCTCCAAACCACGGATGACAGAGCAGTACAGATCTGCCTCATGCACTTTCAGTAAAAATAAGAGTGCTGGATCTGTGTCAAACCAACTGCATTATAGTTTAGACCTCAATAAAGCTGGCAGGACGTAGAGTATGGTGAGTCACGGGTCCCAAACTGTTCCAACTGAAAACACAGAGATGTGAACAGAAGACGTCAAGACAGAGATGCCAAAAAGAACACACAACGGTTGCCACGGTATTTAGTTTTACTGCGCCTGGAAAGGTCAAAAACCTAAGCAAACCAGTATTTCATTCTAACCTTTACCCAATTCCACACATTCCAGAAAGCACGTGGCTCACAACCACAAGTGATGCAGCTTATAAGTGCCAAAGTTAAAAATAAATATGATTTATATCATGTGAATGCTGCGAAAATGCATTGTAATGGATCATTCTGCATGCAAAGTGTGCATGACACAAACACACACACACACACACACACACAAAAATGTCTAACTCTCAATGCATGGACCAACCTCTTAGACGGTGGCTATCTCTTGAGCAGATGGTTTTACATTTAGTTCAAATGTGACCCAACACAAACTGTGGAGGTTAAGTATGAACATACTGGGTGACGACAGGGAACTTAAAGCAGAATAATAAGGAAAAATCCCCTTATCTTTCCGTCAGCTATTCCAGCAGGGTTGCCAGTATATGTTCAGGACAAATAAAAGCATGTGTGGATAGTCTGACTGAGCAAACAGTGTGTGGAGATTGAAGAAGGGCTGCATAGAAACAGGAGTAGCAGCACTCTTGGGTCACATTGACCAGGAATAGAAGTGTAACACTATACACACACTCATGCCCCTGCCAACATGCAAGAGAAAGCCTCTCTGCGAGATTTGGACTGGTTTATTGTGGGTTATGCACCCTGTGTATACACATTTTATGATGATATTATATTTATGTTAGTGTATTTATACTTATCATATTCCTATCATTCATGTTTAACTCTTTTGTTTTAAGATTTTTTAAAGAAGTCTCTTATGCTTATCAAAGCTGCATTTGTTTGACTAAAATTACAGTGAAAACAGTTATATTATAAATATTATTACAATTTAAGAAAAAATCTTCTCTATTTGAATATATTTTTACATGTAATTTAGTCCTGTGATGCAAAGCTGAATTTTCAGCAGCCATTACTCCAGTCTTCAGTGCCACATGATCCTTCAGAAATCATTCTAATATGCTGATTCGCTGCTCAAGAAACATTAATGTCGAAAATAATTGTGTTGCTTGATATTTTTGATAAAAGCGTGATTTTTACAGGATTCTTTGGTGAATAGAAAGTTCAAAAGAAGAACATATTTTTAAATAGAAATCTTTTGTAACATTATAAATGCCTTTGCTGCAACTTTTAATCAATTTAATGCATCCTTGCTGAAAAAAAGGTATAAATATCTTTCAAAAATATATAAAATTATATGTTAATAAACCAACATTGTAAAGTGAACTTTCATCACAGAGAGCTTGTATCTGAGAAAAAATCTATTGCTTTTAAATATCTTTTTTGAATATTCACACCAAAAAACTACTCAAACAAATTCATTAGGTCCTCATACACTTACTTTTAAATCCAAACGATCAACTTCCCATCCCATCTGTAGGCAACATCCTATCTGTCCCTTTAAAAGGGAGAGCACATGGTTTTATACCAATAGCTGTAGCATGCAGAGACTGACTTGCTTTGTCATGGTAAATCCTTTGTTCATAGAGTATCCATCAACTATTCCCCATGCTTTAACGGATTTCTTTATCGTTAACTTGAAATAAGTGTCCATCGTACACAGTCGTAGTGAGGAGGCTCCCACTATAAACCATATATCTCCAGTCACAGAAATATAATCCTGTCCATTGCCATGCCGTATTGTATCTGAGCACTTCTGAAGTCACTGAACCCCTGCACGCTCTCGTAGTGATGGGTGGTAAAGTTGAACAGCTGTCTCCGTCACTGGTGCAACTAATTTCCCTCTCAGATAAGGGATGGGGAAAGGAGGAGGTGTAATTGCTCACCCCCTGAGTCAGAGCCGCAATCTCTGCATGTCAGGGGGGCAACGGGGTTCAGTTCAGTTCTGCTTCAGTTATTGCATTTGACAATCTTTCCACAGGTTCCTGCTTTTTTATGACTCTTTTAGACATAGAAGATAATACAAATCAAGGGTTGCACTAAATGAGGCTCTTATTTTAAACATCAAACTGAATATTTCAGAGCAAACGTATTGAACAATAGTGAAACACTAGAAGCTGGCACAATAATGAAGATCACCCAAAACACACCCCTCCCCCCAACCTGTTTAGTCAAATTGTTCCCTCAGACAAAAGACACAGAGGAGGGGCGGGCTTTCCTTCAGTTTGGGTGCATTGATTCCCTTTCATAAGAGATTTTACACTTCAGAATCATGTTTGAATTTTAGTATGGCTGATGCTGCAGAAAGTAATGACTCAAATTCTTGGCTGTATTTAATTTGAATGAAGACCTGAGGATTGGACTATTGTAAATGAATAAAAGGTACAATGTGGTTGTGTACCTTGAGACAGGCGCACAGGTTTGGTGACCGGCAGTCCGTCCATGCTACACTGATTTCCACAGGGGTGCAGAGTGATGAGTCCTGCCTTGTTTTCGATAAAGCAGTGCTGAGCTGCGATCCCTGGGCCCTGGATGTTGATGTCCATGGTTTCGTGACCCAGAGTGGTCTTGCCTAAAACAAACAACCCCCACAGGATGTTGATTTCAAAGATTGTTTGCTCTCAGACAACATGCACTATGTTTCTGGTTGCAAAAGTACTCAGGTGAAGAGAGAAGTCAGTGAAAGCCCAGGCACTTTATGTCTGTTTTGCTTTTAGATAGATATTACTGTTTAAAGGTTTGAGATTGGTTTGAAATGTTTTTGAAAGAATTCTCTTATGTTCACCAAGAGTGCATTTAATTGATCTTTTTTCAGCAAAGTGTGATGTCTATTTTGTTAAATTAAACTGAGCTAATTCATGGATATTGGGCTGCTTTTTGTCAGTGAGAAGAACCACATTCCCACCCTCATCTGTTATTAGGCACGAGATAAAAGTCTGTGACCTGAGAGGAATCACACAAGATAGTATATCAGTTTATAATACTAATACAGTGCAGTGACTAATATAAATTAAATAAGCATTCAAAACCTCTTCTCTCATGCCCTTTTCATAAGGTAATTTCTCAAAGCCTTCATGATAATTCCATGTGTCTCTGAGGAATTCAAACAGATGGACACTGATAAAGGAGACACTGGTATGAATGGCTGGTCAGTGTCAGAGAAAGTAAGTAGGTGGAGATGAAGGGTGGTTAATGAAGAAAGGGGCTTTTCTAATTATGGCATTTTTAATAATAAATAATATTTTTTTTAGTTAATATATTCTAAACTCTAGAATATTTTATTAGGTTAAAATTATGACAAAAAAGTATTATATATATATATATATATATATATATATATACAATTTCTCAAAGCCTTCATGATAATTCCATGTGTCTCTGAGGAATTCAAACAGATGGACACTGATAAAGGAGACACTGGTATGAATGGCTGGTCAGTGTCAGAGAAAGTAAGTAGGTGGAGATGAAGGGTGGTTAATGAAGAAAGGGGCTTTTCTAATTAAGAGAGGGTGTTTTTAAAAGACCCCATGCTGCTTAAGGCTCAGAGTCAGGTTACTGGCTTTTCAATCACAACACAGAGGTGACGCAGGGGATTTGGCCATCTGTGTATATTGGTTTTATATAAAGGTGTGTGTTTCTTCCCATACAATAACATTATTGGATCATATTTTGAGAATGTTCCATTTTTTCCCCCCCAAGTTTATAAAAATGGAAATATATCTAAGATCACTGCAAACCTTTTGAAAAAGTCCACCGAAATATAAATATAATAATGTAATTAATACAATTATATAATAATAATCTTACCTTCAGGCAGGGGTAAGAGGGTGATGGCTGTACTGAGACGGCCACTTCCTAGACTAACCAAATGGGGGCGCTCTGCTTGGACCTTCAGGGCTTTCCCAGTCTCAATCAAATCCAGTGGAGTGCTCTAAAAAAAGCATAGTATTCACTCAAACATGAAAAAAAGTCATCATGTTCCCATCCTCACGTGTTTTTACATTAATATGACTTTGGAATCATATGGTGACTTACAATTTTCTAATAGCATATATTCGGATATACTACTCTTTTTGCATATTGTTTTTTGCACGTTATATAGGGAAATAGGCATTTTTGGACACAGCATTTCTTTATTGCATGGAACACAAATGGAGTTATTTATAAGAATGTCCAGGCTGCTCTTTTCCATACAATTTTCATTGAATATTCATTTAAATTTTAGTGGCACAAGGCTAATATATGGCTTCAGAGGATGTACTTTCTCTGGTCCCCATCCATTTTCATTTTATGGGAGAGATCAGCATGAACGTTCCTAAAATCATCTGCTTTTATGACACAGAGAAGAAAGAAAGTCATACAGGTTTGGAATGAGGGTATGAGGCATGAGGGTGAGTAAATGATGACAGAAGCATTTTTAAGTAACTATCCCTTTAAATTGGTGGGTTTTAAACAGGGGGCCTCAACAAACTTCCAAGGGGGCCCTAACATGACTTAAAATAAGACAAAACAAGCATTAAAATAATCTTAAAAAAAAAAATAATAATAATTAAATACAATGGTAAAACTTAAAGGGGTCATATGATGCGATTTCAAGTTTTCCTTTCTCTTTGGAGTGTTACAAGCTGATTGTGCATAGATAAGATCCCTGAAGTTGCAAAGACTAAAGTCTCAAAACCAAAGAGATATTCTTTATCAAAGTTAAGACTCTGCCACGCCCCCCTAAAACGGCTCATTCTAACACGCCCCCACATATCTACCCCACTATGTGGAAATATTTGCATAATCCCGCCGCAAATGTGCACGCAAAGAAAGAAGGCGCGGTTTCAGTAACCGCAGTTAGTGTTGAAACAGCCATGTCAGGGAGACGCTGTGTGATTCAGTGCGAAAGCAAAAGCACTTTATTTGGATCACTTACAACAGAACAGCAATGCATTTTATGGACGACCGTTTCATGAACCTAGGAGAGGAAGTAATTCTGACTTTGCTATGACAATCTGGCACTTCTGAATCAGCTACTGTAAGTATGTTTTGTTATTAGTTTAAGTATTTGCTATTGACTGTTCAAATGCGGAGTTTTGCACATCGTGTGTGTGTGTGTGCGCGAGCGAGAGAAAGAGAGAGAGAGAGAGCGAGAGAGAGAGAGAGAGAGAGAGAG